GACTCCTTTTAGCTATGTCTCAACAAGCTTCTCACAATCATGCCCAGCTTGTGTGGGAGGGCTTGTCATGCTGGAGAAGTCCTATTTCACCCCCATGCAATATCTATTTGGGGGTGTTTTTCAACACCTACCTCAGAGGGGCCCAGCCTTCTCCTCTTTGTTTGAGGTCAATGGAGCTCTTGATTTCCAAAGCCAAGCTCTTTCTTTCTCTAGGTATGTGTGAGCTGTCAAACCCTGGTATCTTGCACACATGCATTGTCTTCAGTGGGTGTTGCACCATTAATGGAGTATTCTTCAGGATTTCTTGGACTCTGCCATTTTCCTCCCTCCTTCCCTACAAGTTGACTTTGCATGGTGGCTTGACAGAGACAGTACTTTGGCTGGCATTCCTCTCCCTCCTCCTCATCCTGATTTGCATCTTTTTTACAGATGCTTCTGTTACACAGTGGGGAGCGTATCTGGATTCTCAAGAGATATCCAGTCTTTAGACAGGGGTCAAATCTTCCCTCCATATCAACCTTTTGGAACTTCTTTCAGTCATTGAGCCTTGTATCATTACCTACCTTTAGTACAGGACCATTTGGTCATAATCCATTCTGACAGTTTGACCATTGTATCTTACATCAGTTGACAAGGGGGACATCCATTCCCATTCAAATGCTGGATCTCCTTTTTTGGGCCCAATCTCAACAACTTTGTCTTCTTGCTTATTATGTCCTGGGTGCTCTTCTAGCAAATTGGTTATCTTTTCCTGACAGGATTCTACCTATGGAGTGGTCTTTTGTTCCTTAAGTGTTTTGGTTGTTATACTCCCACTTTGGTACTCCTCTTCTGGTCTCCAGTTTTACGTCATTTGGCTTTGGTGGTGGATGCCTTTAGTAAGGATTGGAGCAATCTTTACCTTTATGCTTATCCTCATGTTATCTCCCTTATCCAAGCCACTCTGTGTCAAGTCCTTCTAATTGCCCCATTCTGGCCTACTCAAGCATGGTTTCCAATCCTGAACCTCCTTCAGTTATTCCCTCCCATACCTCTTTCACTTTCCCGGTCCCTTCAACATCAACTTCAGTTCACCAAATTTCATTTTGCCATCATCACACTCTGGCTTCACACACAGTTTTTGTACAATTCCCTGTGAGACAAACTCTCTACATGGAAAGTTCCCTTCTTTCTCGCTTGGCCCGCCCACCTTTCTCTAAATGTTTACTAGAGGTACATTTTCCGGAGTTGATCTTTGTGCCATGGTTTCTCACCTTCTCGACCTAGTGTTTTTCCACTTTTCCAATTTCTCTACTTGGCTCTTCAACAGTGGTTTATCAGTTTCTACTATTGTGGGCTATGTGGCAGATTTGTCTAATACCTTTCCTTTCTTCTGCTCCTGGTGCATTTTTTCCCTCTACCATCCTCTCTTTTGTTTTGCCCCTTTTGCATGATTTGTTCAATTTCCCTAACTGATTGGAATCTCAGTGTGGTTGTTCATGCCCTTACCCTTCCTCCTATTGAACCTTTGACCAGTTGTATATTGTACCACCTCTTCCTCAAGATGTATTTCTAACTCTTCTTCACATGTGGTCATCATAAGTCAAATATCATTGCTGTTGACATCTCTCATATCCTCTATCACCATACCTATGTTCTCCTTTATCTGGATCATAGTTTTTCCCAAGATGTCCCCTTCATATGTTGCTGACATCACCTTCACTCCTACATCCCTCCATCTCTCATTTGTATTCCTGTTCTGATCCTATCATCTTTCTTGTCCAATACATTCCCTGCATTGTTATATTGTCTACAATGCTTCCTTCTGTGGATCCCATTCTCCTCTTTTTATATCATGCAATCTTCCTCTACCCATGGTCTTTTTTTTTCAACCTTACAGGATGGATTCACCAGCTTATTCGTCTTGCTTCTGCATTCTTATCCAAGAATTCTCATCGCATTTTCCAAACCTCCTCTCATTAGATATGTCATCTCACCTTTTCCCTGGCTGCTCACTTCCATTGTTTTGTGGAAGAGATTGTGCAGGCTGGCATGTGGACCATGCCTCTCACATTTATAGCCCACTACTTGCATCACTTGGCTGTCTCATCCATACACAGTTTCAACTCTGAAAAGATAAGTTTATCCTTTTATTTCTTCCCTTTCCAGTGGCTCTATTCTCCTTTCTTGGATTTCACTCTGGAGTAAGTGGTGCCTGTCCAGACATACTTAAATGTAAATCCACACCATACGGCTGTACAGATTTATAACACTAACAGAAGAGATGGGGTGTTCCACAAGACAGCTGAAGGTTGCCTCACGGTATTTTGCTTCATAAATAAAGCCCACACTAGGTTGTATCAACTTATGGACTATCCTGAGTAAAGCAGTGTCAGGATTGCTGCCCATTTAACATTTTTCTTTTCTGAAAATGTATAACTGATACATACTTAAGTCCTCTCACACTTACGATGCATCTTTTGTGATGATAGTGCTCCACAGTATAGAGGGAGTCAGCTGTGCTAGAGTGTGTGTGAAACTCCTATTAGTGGAGGGTTTTTGCATACTATAGCACAACTATACCACAGGAAATTATGTGAGGGTAGTGGAAGCGTCAAGGCTAATGTCGAGCAAAAATTGCATATATAGAGGTCAGCACAAGTTGAAAAAAGCTATTATGCAAGAAGAGGTAAGTATCTATTGTAATTACATTTTCAGGGAAATGTTACAATTACAGGTTTTCTGTTAGTTGTATACTGGTTCTATACATCTAGGATTACAGCTTCTGTACAGGTTACAATCTGTGCATACTGGTTCTGTAGTAGTTACAAATCGACCTTGTTTTATGGCACAGGTTTTGGTGAAGACCTAATTTATCATCCAAAGTAATTCCACAAAGATATTTAAATCTTGGCTGTTATCAAGGCACATGGTAT